GTATCCTCATCTCCCACCTCATAGCCCTCAGAAAGAAGCGCTCGAAGAACAAATCTCTCAACTCATTCCAAGTCATCAACTCAACATTGTGGACATTGGTCATAGACCTCCACCAAATATCAGTATCTCCCATGAACATAGAAGTAGTTAAAGAGATCATCAACCTGTCTATAGGTACCGCCATACTATCTAACTTGCGAACCATAAGGTCCAACCAAGCTTCTGAGACTAGCGGATCTGAACTCCCTGCAAATGCATCAATCTTGACCCTCTGTAGTTGTATAAGTACTCCATTACCTCATTGACTATTGGTACCGGTGCCGGTACCGGAATCTGTATCCCTATTACCTGCCTGCGCATCAACTCCTGTAAGGATTTAGCGATCCCTTGATTGATTCCCTGAGCCACTCGCTCCTTATAAGTCGATACCCGTGGTGGATTAGTATCCACGCCATGAACTGGAATCCTGGGCCTTCCCGGACCCCTCGTAAACTCAGTGTCAGCCACCTGTTCCTCAGTGCCCTGATGTGAAGACTCTCCACACGTGACAACCATGATGCTAAATGAACATAAGGGAAGAGGTTAACAATAACACAAGTTATTATGACCAAGTGCAACTCACACTATAAATGCACGAAACACGAAGCAAGACATGGTATGCAAATACAGTCATGCTAAAATAATCAAGGAAAGCTGTGTAAACAGTTAAGCACTTAAGCAATGAAGCATACATGTCAAACAAAGACGCTTTTAAATATATAAGCATATAAGCCTAAAGACATGTCATATTACCAAGCGTGTTATAACGAAACACATAAACATGTTATAAAGCCAAAACATGTTATCAAAAGCATATGAACATATCAAATTAAATCAACAAAAGCATGATATGCACCCAAAACCCGTCATCCTAAGGTGTTCAAATCTAGGAGCTCTGATACCACTTGTCGTGACCCATGTTTTTCAACCTTGTGCGTCAGTGATAACCCGAAAGTTAATCCGATAACGGATTCAAAATGCGGAAGCAAAAGATAAAACCATAGTCCTTTGAGATATAAATCATTTCTAAGGCACCAATGTGACATTCCTTCATGTCACGGAACTTAAGGAGAGCGAAAGCAGAAACTTGAGTTAAAACAAGCAAAATTCGTTAATGAAGGGCAAAATGGTCAATTCATAATAAAAAGGAGAAAATTGAATCTAAGTAAGTCAAACAAGGTGAATACAACCTAATCTAATCATTTCATAACATTCCAAGAGGTTCCAAGAACTTTGGATAAGAATCCAACAAAATACCCTTTTTCGGTTTAAGCGAAAACTGACACTACCTCACTAAAACATGAATCACTCCAACTATGATTTGAATCTGAGACTCGCATAGGTACGATTGGAAATCTGACTCAAAATCCTTGAGTTTAGGCTCAAGAATCACCCCAATTTGATTAGGAATGAAGGAGTTATGACCTTTTGAAGTTGAAACTCCAGTGCTGAAACATAACAGAGGAATTGCATGCAAACAAGCTATTTCGGTCGACCAAAATAGAGTTTAGGTCGACTGAACTGGATAGAAAATTTTCTGAAACCATGATTTTAAGGAGTCTTTGGTTCGGTAGACCGAAATGAACCATCGGTCGACTGAAATAGGCCATCGGTCGATCGAAATGGTCCTGAATAGTAAAAATGGCTACTGGAATTGAAGGTTTACTGTGCATTGTTGTTACCAAAAGCCATTGATCGACTGAAATGAAGTGTTAGTCGACCGACACACCTCGTAAACATGTTGTGAGACCTACTAGGTGCCAAGTATGTAAAGATTCAACCCATGCTTCAAATCCCTTCATGTAATGGATCAAAAATGAAAGTTTAAATGTGATTTTCAATAAGATTTGAGTTGGTGAACATGTTAACAAACTTCATATGCATATTTGAATGTAAAACAATGGCTCCTAGCCTCACACATGTTCATTACAAGATTTTCATACACCAAACCTCCAAAATTTGTAAAAATACATATTAATAGCAAAAACTAGTACCAAATGTGTACAAATGCTAAGGTGGACATGCTTGGCCCTTGGCCTCACTACATATATGCTTCTAGTATCAAAGTAAGTGCTTAGGTATCATTACACATCAAGGTAGCTACATTAGCCTCAAAAATACCATACATCCATGGTATGCAAAAATATAACTTCAAAAGTAAAGCATGCTAAACACTTGCATGTCAATAAACAAAAATGTCCCAAATTGCTCATAAGCTGCTAAGGATGATAAGCATCCAAAAACATTGTCTCCTTACCTGAAAAACAACCCAAACCACTGGGGTGAGTAATCAAGTTACTCGTAGGAAGAAGCATATGCATATACCCTAAAGTTTTAATATCATTGCAAGATCAATATAGACAAATACAAGGGAGCATTCCACTTAACGTCTATGTTCAAGGTATTCTAAGGGATCATCTGAAGCTAATGCAATGATTCCATCATAACATAATACAATATCAATGTACTTAACAATATTAATTCGCCAATAACCAAAATCACAAGTCACAATTAAACATTGGTTGTCAAGTTAGGAAAAGAATGCGAAATCAATTAATGGAATACTTGGACATCAAATCTTGGATAAAGCCAAGACCTAAATGGTTATTCCGGGCATTAACTCACTGGAAATACCACCCTAAGTGCGCACTATAAATGGGGAGAACTCATACCTCCCGCACTAGAGCCAAACTCTAGCCATATCACTTGTAACAACAATGTCACAAGATAATCCAAAATATAGCAAGTTCAAAACTCATACATAATTATTAAGGCATATATAACACCTTCCATGCACAAGTATTTTGAAACTACACAAACCATGTCTTAGGGCTTCCAAGTCTAAAATGGCATAATAAATGACAAGTATTCATCATGATATATTGTGTAAAACAATATCACCAACTTATCAATTCAAACCATACCTCAACAATAAGCTTTATATACTATATTACAACATTATAGTATTAAGCTTCTAAAATAATTACAATTACCAATAGTAATCTACTAGAATGTAGGATCAATATCACAATAGTATAGTAATATAAATCAATAAGAGTTCTATACAACATTAATAATCCTACTTAAGATACATAAACAATATACATCTTAATTCATTAAATCATAAGTCAATCTTAAGGATTTCCTATAGCATGCAATACAACAATTCTAAAAGCTTGTATACAATATATATTAAACCCCAAAGGATTTTAAAACACTTAAAATATAAACATACTACCACCCCTACCTCAATAGAGAATTGAATCTCTATAATCTAAGTTACCAAGCTCAAAGTGGAGAACAAGTTTAGGGCTAATGAAGAGGAGAGTGAGGGGAAACTTTTGTGTTCCAAGGTTTTAAGTCTAGGGTGAATGGAAGGAAGCCAAAAATGAAGTCAAAGCTATTAACCAAGCTTTCTCCAATGGTGGCTAGGTTAGGGTTCTTAGAGAATAAGTGAAAATGAAAGGGATAAAGTGAAAATGGTGAGTGGAGGATCTAGTATTCCTCCACTCACTATGTGTTTTTACACTACCTCTCTCATACACACAATGCAATACTTAATTGTGATCCTACACTTGTCACAAATCCATGGCTCCTTTCTAGGCTTAATCCTAAGCCTACACTTATCAACCATCTTAGCCAACAAGTGCTCCAATCCTAGGCCAACAAGTGGGTGAATCTCCACTCTCTAAATGTCAAGAGATTACACATCCAAGTCACTCCACCCCATTGCCAACAAGTGGTATCATGAGAATGTGACACTTGTCACATTTTCCAAAAATTGCAAAAAAGGTCATTTTTCAAAATATCTTACAAATTAAATTGCAAAAAGGTCCATAAGACGAAAAATAATTACTTTATGTAATTACATAAAAACCCAAAAAATAAAGAAAAATAACAATAAAGTATGCATCCATGCCCTTTAAGAAAAAGTAAGCAACTAGAATGTGTTTTCTACAAAAGTAAAAATACAAATGTCATGGAAATCAAATATCATAAATGTATTCAAAACTGAAATCAAATCCGAGCACAGAAAGTGAGGTTATGCAAGGAAAAATGATAAACGGGAAAAAGATGAAATAAGGAAAAGACAAAATAGGAAAAAAAAGACGAAAAAAGAAAATCACCGAAAAAGGAAAAAGGAGGAAAAAGACCGGGTCATTACATTGGTGGTACACCACCACACTCAATTTTCAACATCTCTACATTGGAAACCCTTTCCCTTTCTTAGAATCATTTTTTTGGGAATCTTCCATTGACTTTAGGCCTTTAGCTTCCAAATCTAAAGTATTTTTTTCTTGCTACGAACCAATTCAGTGGACCAATTCCTTGCTCCATCTCAAATGCCTCAAAACTAGCTAGAATCCATCTAAATGATAACTTTTTCAACGGTAGTGTACCCATGACTCTTAGGAATTTACATCACCTCCGAGATCTCGGGCTTCCATTAAATAACTTGACTAATGATTAATCTGGCCCTGAAATAGATTTTCTTTCTTCATTAACCAATTGCAAGCTTTTGATGGTTCTAGATATAGGAGGTAATCCCTTGAATAATTCTTCCAAAGTTCTGGGGAAATTTGTCCATTTCACTCCAACAATTTTATGCAACTTCTAGTGGCATCAGAGGCATGATTCCTAGTGCAATTGGTAATTTGAGCAACTTAGTGTTATTGGGGTTGGGAGGTAATGACTTAACAGGATCAATTCCAAATATACTCGGGCAACTAAGCAAAATCCAACGTTTGGGAATATTTGAAAATCTAATACAGGGGTTGATGCCCAACTCTTTTTGCAATTTGACAAACATATTTGAGTTGAATTTGTGAAGAAATAAGCTTTCTGGCTGAATTCCAAACTGTTTTGGACTATTAACTTCATTACGAATCCTCCATTTAGGCTCCAATGCACTGACTTCAAAAATACCACCAACTTTGTGGAGCCTTGAGGATGTCATTACTATGGACTTGTCCTCCAATATTCTAATTGGCTCTCTACCTCCAGAAATTGGCAATTTGAAACACATTAGTGAATTGTATCTGTCAGAAAATCAGTTCACAGGTGAACTTCCAAGCACCATTGGTCAACTCCAGAGCTTGGAATCCTTAGATCTATGTCAGAATAGATTACAAGGCCCCATACCCTTGTCATTTTCTAATTTGATAAGTATGAAATCCTTGAACCTCTCTCAGAATGATCTTTCTGGTGTGATCCCCAAGTCGTTGGAGAAACTTTCAGATCTTAAATATTTGAATGTTTCTTTCAATAGACTAACCGGAGAAATCCCCACTGGAGAACCTTTTGCCAACTTCACCCCCGAGTCTTTCAGGCAAAGTGGTGCATTGTGCGGTGCACCTCAGTTCCATGTCAAAGCATATAAAAGTCATAGAAAATTAGGGAAGATTCAGATTGTCCTAAAATTCATTGTACCATCGGTTGTTGCATTAGTGGTAGTTGGAGTAGCTCTTTTAATTTGGTGGCTACAATTCCGAAACAAAAAGAAGCAAATTCCGATTCAAGTTGATCCACCAATTAGCATAACACATAGAAGAATTTCATATAATGAGATTCTTTATGCAACAAACCATTTTAGTGAAGGCAATTTGATTGGGAAGGGAAGCATTGGCACAGTATACAAAGGGACATTCTCTGATGGGATGATAGCTGCTGTAAAGGTCTTTGATTTGAAGTTGCAAAGAGCATTCGCGAGTTTTGATGTAGAGTACGAAGTAATTCACAACATTTGCCACCAAAATCTTGTCAAGATAATCAGTAGTTTCTTGAACCTCGATTTCAAAGCCTTGGTGCTTGAATACATGCCTAACGGGAACCTTGAGAACTGACTTTATTCTCACAACTACTTTTTGAATATTGTTAAAAGATTAGGCATTGTGATAGATGTGGCATCTGCCTTGGAGTATCTGTATCATGGTTCTTCAACCTCTGTTGTGCATTGTGACCTAAAGCCGAGCAACATCCTATTAGATGAAGACATGGTCGCGCATGTAGCTGACTTCGGCATAACAAAGCTCTTGCCAGAGAACAAGTCAATAACACACACAAAGAACTTGGGCACCATTGGGTATATGGCACCAGGTAAACTTAATTCATTCTATAATGATATGCTACAACACAATCGTTTAAATATTTTAGCTCTATATATCAATCTCCTGACATATGGAAGAAAAAAAAAAAATCCCACGAAGAACATATAAACATTTGTGTTTCAATGTTTTTATTCTGTTTGCGTATGCTAACTTGTTATAAATAATAGTAATAATAAGATAAGATCCTCATGAAGAAGAAGAATATATGCCAAAATATTATGGAACTACTATGTATATTAACTTGTTCATTTTTCTTGTCGGGGCTAAGCATCTTCATGTATTGTTCTTATAGTTCATTTATTCTCTATACATAATGTGTTTTTCCTTTGTTGAGTTGACAATGAGTAGTGATGTTGCAGAGTACGGGTTAGCCGGAGTAGTGTCCATTGCTGGTGATGTATATAGTTATGGAATCCTGCTGTTGGAAACATTTACAAGAAAGAAACCGACTGATGATCTATTTGTGGGAGAAGTGAGCTTAAAGAGTTGGGTATTTGAGTCTTTTTCGAGTGCAGTGATGGATGTTGTGGATTCTAATTTAGTGAGTGTAGAGGAAGAAAATTTTACTGTCATACAAATTTTTTTTCCATCTATCTTCAAATTGGCTCTAGAATGCACATCAGAGTTACCTGAGGAGAGGATTAACATAGAAGATGCCCTAGTTAGGCTCAAGAAGTTCAAAACCATAGTTCTTGAAAATCTAATGAGGCCTTGAATAAAGTGTCTGTAAGTAGTTCTGATTTCTTCTTTAATTATGAGTTGGAGGAAGTAATGTCTTATAGTAGAATATATCATGTTATGTTGAAGTTGGTCATACATGATCGATGTAACTTAATAAAATATAAATTTTTTCCAAGCAATTAACTTAATAGTTTATGAATAATTGTTTTGCAATATCTTAGAAATTTTTAGCTTGTTCTACTTGCATCCATCTAACTATTACTCGTATCTTTCATAATGAACAAATAATTTTTTTTTTTCTCATTTATCTAAATTTGATAAAAATACACGCAGTCATCTTTTTGTCAACATTTTTACATGAGAGACAAACATTTCTACATCAACTAAATGCAGGCTAAACAACCTTAATGGATGTTTGCCCTTGTTTACCCATGAAATTTGTCCCAACTACTTACAAAAAATTATTGACAAAATGCTGATATGACATTTTCACAGAAGGGACGTTGCTAATGACATAGTATGCCTAGTATACCCAATATCTTCTGAACCTATCATTTAAATTTTGTTATAAATGTGAATTGGTCATGATACCATGTTAGCATAACATCCTATATTGTATTTAGCGTAACCTCCTATGTTGTATTAATTAATGACATAATTTGATATAGATAACAACTGACCATGTTGAGTGATTCTAGATAGTTAATTTTTCTATAGAACCATATCCTATGAGACAATAATTAATTAAATCAACTTGATAAATGTAATTACACAAAAATAATTTCAATTGCTTCTCATTGTACAAGTCCTATCTTTGTTTTTCTCCTTTGTGCAATTTATTTCTGGCATAAAAAATGTAAGTTTCAGTACTGTGTTTTCCCTATGAAAAAAATTACATGGATAACTTTGATAGAATTGAGAATGGATGAATTGTTTAATTCCACACTCATACTTGTCATTAAACAACAAACCAATAAATACAACAGAGAGTAGCAAAATGTTTGTTACAGATCCTATAAACTAGCGCTGCTATGTACAACTAAAAAACAATTTGAATAGTACAAAATAAAGATAAGGATAAGTCAGTTTCCTCTATTATGCCCCCTCAAGATGGAGCTCATGAGAGAAGTCCAATCTTGGACTTGAGTTAAGTAAATTGTTGTCGAGGAAGAGGCTTAGTAAGAGCATCAACAATTTGATCTTCAAAAGAAACATGAGCAACTCGAAGAACACCATTTTGAACCTGATCTCGAATAAAATGAAAATCAATTGCAAGATGCTTCACTCTGGAATGAAAAACTGGATTTGAACAGAGTTGGTTGGTTCCAATGTTATCACAATAAATTACTGGACAGCAGGGAAGCTTAACACCAAGATCAGAGAGAAGATAACAAATCCAATTAGTTCAGCAGCAGTATTAGCAACAAATCGATACTTTTGCCCCTGTAGAGGATCTAACTATGATCCATTGCTTTTTAGAACTCTAGGAAATAGGATTTTTATCAAGATAAATAACATAGGCTCCTATAGATGAAAAAGTATCTTTGTCCCCTGCCCAATCAGCATCGGAAAAAGCATGCAAGCTGAGAGATGAGTCATAATAAATTTGTAAGCCATCATTAATGGTGTGACGACCCTGGATTTTACAAACCCAGTATGTCTTGTGATGACCCGAAACAGATTCAAAATGCGGAAGCAAAAGAAGTGAAACAGTCACTAAGGTAGGTGCAAACCCTAATTCTTGGTGTGGACTTCGACAAGCCACGGAACTGAAAGAATTAACCAAAAGAAAAAATAAAACGAAGGAATCAGTTAGTATCTTAGGGTACCAATGACGACCAATGAACAAGATCTAGTTTAAACTAGACTACGTCCGCCATTAGATGGCTTAAACAAGGTCAACGAAGTCGAGTGGGAACGAACCAATCGGTATAAATCTGAAAAGGCAACAACCAAACAAAAACCTACAAGGCAACTCTATTTCGATCGGTAGAAATGAATCTTCGGTCGACTGGAATGAGCCAAGAAATGAGCCTTCATTTCGGTCAGCTGAAATGACAAATCAGTCAACCGGTTGTGGCTTAAAATGGACATTGGCTTTTGGAATTTGATTTTCATTGTTCAATTAGCCACTGGTCGGCCAAAATGATGCTTTGGTTGACTGAAATGGCTTGAATTTTTGCAGAAAGTTCTGTAAAACCCGAAAATGCAAAAGGCTTCTCAAGCCTCCTTTAAATCCCCCATGGCCTGATCAATTTGAATTATATGCTATTGTGTGATGATGTAAACGTGCACGCATGTGTAATATGATATTTTAAATATGCTACCATGGCCTGCGGCGTTTTTAAGATTCATTTACAAGATTTTACATGCCAAACCTCCAAGGTTAGAAAAATTACATTTCAAAGGTGAAACTTGAAATTTAAATGCATACACTTGAACTTTAAAGTTTGTGGCCCTTGGCCTCGTGTCATACATATCAAATGAGTACTAAAATGAGAGCTTAGGCACTTATTACATATTCGGAATTGAAAATAACATGTTAAACCAAATATTTCATTACAATTTCAAAGAGAATCTAAACATGTTAACACTTGCATGTTGGCAAAATACATCAAATCACTTCAAAATATACAAGGTAACCTAGGGATGCATGTTGTGCATCCCAAACCAAGGTATCCATACCTGAAAAATATCCTAATAACTTAGGGTGAGTAAATAAGTTACTCGTAGGGAGAAGTGCATGTGTATACCCTAAAGTTTCAAATGCCATGCAAGTTCAACATAGATCATCACAAGGGATCATTCCTCCTAACATCTATGTTCCAAGGTGAACTAAGGGATCATCTCAAGCTACTCATGCAATTAAAATGAACTACGACATACAAGTATACATGCTCAAGTATATTAAAACAAGATATGCAAAAAAAGTGTTAAAACTCGATATACGACGTACAAGCATACATTTACAAGTATGCTAAACCATATTAAAACAAGATATGCAATATCTAAGTCTACATACACAAGCATACAATTTATATGGAGAACCTCGAAAATCAAGTATACAAGCACAAGTATATTAAGCTAAATGAGACACGCACAAGACAAGTATACACGATACAAGTATGCTAGGCTATCTCTAAGCTACATCATCAATATACAAGTATACATGCTAGGTACACTAAGCAATGTGTAGCGAAATATTCAATATCAACAAGTATACGTCCATAAGTACACAAATCAATATTGAAACGGAATGCAATAAAAATATATACATATTCACAAGTATACATTCACAAGTGTACTAAATGTAATTTTAAACACACGGAATGAGTATACAAGTTCAATATACAAAATAAGGTTTACACCAACGAATCAAGTATACAAGCACAAATATACTAAATAAGATTTAAATATACAAGGCAAGTACCAATTCACAAGCTACAAGTAATCCACCATTAACTATTAGGAATTTAATGCGAAATTAAATAGTGGAAATACTAGGATACTCGATCACAGGCCAAGCAAGTTATTCTCAGCAATTACGACCCATAAGGTACTACCTAGTGCGCGCGTGTATAAGTTATTCTGGGCAATTACAACCCACAAGGTACTACCTATTGTGTACTCCATATGACTAAGGAAACTCTTGTCTGCATACTAGAGCCAAACTCTAGCCATCACATGTACATTTTCCTTACAAGCCTTCCAAAATCATTAAGTTCAAAACTTATGCAAAATTAATAAATTAGACCAAACTTATACAAAATCAAATAATGCATAAAACCCATCTTTCATGCACAAGTAAGGTTAAATCAACACAAATCATGTCCTAGAATTCAAGTCTAAGTGGCATATGATATGTCAAGTCCTCGATATGCAATTTATACACAAAACAAGAATATTTTACAACAATTGAGCCAAATTACCATCCTAAGCCACAAGTACTAAATAAACTATAATTTAGTAACTGGTTTTCAAAGTAATCAATTGTAATATTCTAAATAAGCTATATACTTACGCAGGATATATTTAAATAATCTTTGCAAGACAACGGTATCCTATATCATGCTAAGTCCAATTACCATTTTAAGAGGCCACAAGTATTAATTCTATAACAAGTTAGTAACATGCTCACAAGGTAATTAATGTACTACATTTCAAGAGATTATCATTTAAACATGAAATGTCGCTAAAATTAAATAATTTGGTAAATGAAACAATTTACCTACGGCAAGATATACATGCTCTCAAGGCTTGAATTATCTAATAAGCTATATAATGCCTATATACAATAATTCCTTAAGCTACTAAATACATGATATCTCTACACACTATATATATATAAGCTAAGCATGCTTCTAAATCATGAATTTAGCTACACAATATATATATAGACTATAATTTGGCAAACTATACATATATTTACACCAAACATGCTATTAATCATTAAACTCTAAATCATTTCAAAGGATTTCTATCTATACATAAGACTATGATTAAACAAGCATGTAAACAATATATATTAAGCTCCAAAAACACTAAAACACTAAGGAAATAAACATACAACAACCCCTACCTCACTTTGAGATGAAATCTCAAATCCCACCGAAACGGAACCGCTCTGAATCCTACGAAACTTTGGGGTTTTGTCAGGGACAATGAGATGAACATTAAACCCTAAGGAGGTCACACCAAATCCAAACTTGGCTTTAAACCCAAACTCGAAAAATGGCTTAAAAAGGATTCCAATCAGTTGGAATCGAAGGCCTCACCAAGGCCGAGTGAGGGGGAAGATGAGTAAAAATATCCCTCTCACCCCCTATTTATGGAAAAACTTAAAAAGTGCCCCGAATGGATCCTACCCTGCCCAAAAAAGTGGAATTTGAGCAGACGCGCTCAAACAACAAAACACCGTGAACAAAAAAGAACTGAAATTATAAAAACTGAACAACAGAAGAAACGGTATCAAAAACTGAGTCCCGAACAGAGAGATATACCCCAAACAAGTTCGGCGGCAACCGGGGTCAAAAA